TGGTAATTTTTTGAATTATGCTAATGTTGGCTGATTCGATAAAACTAGAGAGGGCGACGGGCCATGGCAGAATCACATCACGTATCGATCTTGGACCATTTCGACGACTTGGACGACCCACGGGTGGAACGGACCCGACGCCACCAGCTGGTGGATATTCTAGCCATCGCCATCTGCGCCGCCATCTGCGGAGCCGATTCCTGGGTCCATGTGGAACTCTTCGGCAGGAGCAAGCTGGAATGGTTTCAAACCTTCCTGGAATTGCCCAACGGCGTCCCCTCCCATGACACCTTCGGCGATGTCTTTGCGCGTCTGGACCCAGCCCAATTCCAGAACTGCTTCGTGTCTTGGACCCAGGCCATCGCCGAACTGCTGCCCGGTGAGGTGGTCGCCATTGACGGCAAGACGGCCCGACGGTCCTACGACCGGGCGGGGAGCAAGGGAGCCATGCATCTGGTCAGCGCCTGGGCCACGCAGAACACCCTGACGTTGGGGCAGGTCAGGACGGCGGAGAAGTCCAATGAGATCACCGCCATTCCCCAACTGCTGGACTTGCTGGATCTGCACGGCTGCATCGTGACCATTGACGCCATGGGCTGCCAGCGGGAGATTGCCCAGCAGATCACAGACGGCGGGGCCAATTACGTCCTGGCGGTGAAGGAGAACCAGGGTCAACTCCACGAGGGCATCCGAGACCTGTTCGAGGGGGCGGAGGCGTTGGGCTTTGACGGGGTGCCCTACGACTACTCCCAGACCGTGAACAAGGGACACGGACGGGTGGAACGGCGGGAATGCTGGACCATCACCGCGACGGACTGCCTGGACTACATCAACCCTCACGGGCAATGGCCCCAACTGAAGGCCGCCATCAAAGTGGTCGGCCATCGTGAGACCGCAGCCGGCGCGATCAGTCAACCTCGCTACTACATCAGCAGCCTGCCAGCCCCAGCAGGACAACTGCTGGCTGCCGTCAGGAGCCATTGGAGCATCGAGAACTCACTGCACTGGACTTTGGATGTAACCTTTCGAGAAGATCAGTGCCGAGTGCGCAAAGACCACGGGCCGCAGAATCTGGCCACCCTGCGTCAGATCTCCCACAATCTACTGAAAAACGAAAACAGCCTCAAAGTGGGCATCCAGGGCAAACGGCTCAACGCCGGTTGGCGTGAAGACTACCTACTAAAAGTACTCCTCGGATAAGACGCGATTGCCCTGGGTGGCGCGCTTGCCCAAACCAAACCCGCCCATACGGAGGAACCCTGTTAAATGCCCACCTACGAATTCGTCGAATACGCCGCCGATGCAGATAGCCACATCGCCCGCGTTACGTTGAACCGACCCGAGCGCCTCAACGCCCTGAACGACCAGATGCAACTCGAGGTCACCGATGCTTTGACGCAAGCGGAGTCTGACGACGACGTTCGGGTGGTGATTATCACCGGCGCTGGGCGCGCGTTCTGCGCGGGCGGCGACCTGAACGATTTGGGCGGCTCATCGGATGGCAACGGCGCCGGCTGGACATCGGGCAACGCCGACGAGGTGCGACGGAGTTTCCGTTCGGCGCAGGGAATGATTCTAAACCAAAGCCAAGGTGAAATGCGCAGACGCATGGGGTAAATTTGTGAAGGAACCGAGGTAGCTGGTCTCAGAAATTGCGAGGGGTTGGTGATGGGCGTGAGGGAGATAGACCGGTCTCTGGAACAATGGCAGATGGGAGTCAAGGACTTGCGGCGGCGGATGATTCTGGCTCCCACACCCCGGGAGCGGGAGCGGTGGTACGCCATCGTGCTGCTGGCTCAGGGCTTGACGGCAGCGGCGACGGCGGAGGCGCTGGAGCGGGACCCCCACACTATCGGGCGTTGGGCGTCGGCCTTCGGTGCGGGAGGGCCTGCGGCCCTGATATTCGAGCAGACCGGTGGTTCCCCCCCGCCCTTGACCAGACGCAGCAGGAGGAGTGTGAAAGGGGCGGTGGAACAACTGCCCGCTGCGGCGGGCATCGCAATGGCCAACTGGTATTGGAGGTGGTGCGGCAGTTGTCTCAGAGCGGTTGGCATCAGCCCGGTGCCGCAGCAGTTGCCTGAACTGGCTTATACCGGCTGGGGTTTGCCTGCAAGCGCCCCAAGAGCGTCTGCTCAAGGCGAATGAGTCCAAGCGGGAGGCCTGCGTGGCGGAGTACGCCGCCCGGAGGGAAGAGGCCCAACGGACTGAGCCAGCATATTCTTTGCTGATGAGGCCCACTTCCGGCGGACGCGGAATTGCGGGGCAGTGGGTGCTGAAGGGTAAGCCTGCGTTGGTGGACTCCAATAGCCCGCGGTCTGGGGAGAAGGCCAGCTACTATTCAGCGGTGTGCCTGGAGACGGGCGAGGTGGAATGGATGGAACTGGAGGGCAACAGCAACAGCGGGACCTCGGTTGCCTTCCTGACGCAACTGCCTGACGCAACTGAAGGAAAAGCATCCAGGGCCGCTGCGGGTCATCTGGGAGCAATGCGCCAGCCCACCGTGGGGAAGCGGTGCGGGAGTAACCTCAGGACGCCTGAGTCTGGAGCTGAGGCTGGTGAACCTGGCCGGGCTACAGCCCGGACTTCAACGCCGATGAGGCTATCTGGGGCGGGCGAGAGCGGAGGCCACTGGCAATCTGTGCCTGGGGAGCAGGGCGGCGGTGCAGGAGAGGGTCGGGCAATTCCTGGCCGGGCTGTCCAGCCGGAAAGAGCGAGGTGAGACGGCGCTGCCGGACGGTCCTGCAATCAAGGGCCGAAACACTCCCGCGAGACTCCCGCCCCGATTCCCAGCACCCGGCAAATGCACATCCCACCTTGGCTTTGGTTTAGGGGTGCAGCGCTGCGAAAAACCGGTTATCGCCATGGTGAACGGAGTGGCCACCGGCGCTGGCCTGGACCTGGCCTGCGCCTGCGACATCCGTATTGGCACCGCCCGCTCCCGGTTCATGTCAGCCTACGTTCGCATCGGATTGTTCCCCGGGTTTGGCGGCACCTGGCTCTATCCGCGCACGCTGGGCAGCTTGGGGCGCGCCGCCGAGATGCTGTTCACTGGCGATTTCCTGGAGGCCGACGAGGCATACCGGCTGGGCTTCCTGAACCGGCTGGTCGATGAAGAAGAGCTGGAGTCCACCACAATATCGATGGCGGAACGCATCGCCGCCGGCCCGCCGATCGCCATTCGACTCTCCAAGCTGATGCTGTACAAGGGTCTGGAGTTCGACCTGGAAACCGCCATGAAGATGGCAGCCGCCGGCGAGACCATCACCCTCACTTCTCAAGACCATGTTGAAGGCGTAACAGCATTCCGTCAGAAGCGGGCCGCAGAGTACAGAGATCAATAGGGCCGGAACATTCCCAAGTCTGTCCCGGCCCATTTGATCTGCGGCGGAATTGGGCGGCTGCGTTACTTCTGGCAGGTTGGCTCAAAGTAATTGTCGGCCCGCTCCACCAGGCCGCGCAGTTCCCGGTAAGTCTGGTTCTCGTCCAGGTCGGATTCAACGGTGTTGAGCAATCCGGTAACAGCGTCCAGATCATTGCACTGGGCCCAAACCGACCCCCGGAGCAGTTCGGCAAATTCAGCTGCCGCCGCCGTCTGGCGGAAGTAGGGGTCCGTAGCTGACAGGTCGGTAGCAGTCTCGCCGAACCGGATATCGGCGGACAACTCGGTGGGTTCCCGCGTTTGCGGATCCAGCCAGCGCAATCGGGCAGTGGCCAGCACCGAGTCGCTGGCGACGTCATCCTGCAACCGCAGTTCGTACAGGGCGGAAACGTCCCGCGCGAAGCCCACCTCTCCAAAGTCCAAAGAGTCGTCGCGGAAGTCCTCGTCCGCAACGGCACGGTTTTCGTAACCGATGAGACGGTACTTGCGAACGACGTCGGGATAGAATTCCACCTGCACCCGTGCGTCCCGTGCGGTTTCGCTGAAAACACCTGGCACGCTTTCCTGCAGGAACCGCTCCGCGGCGTTGCGGTCTGACATGTAGTGGTAGGTGCCGTTGCCGCGGTTGGCCAGCACCTCGAGCAACACGTCGTTGTAATTGCCCGATGCGCCGACACCGACGGTGGTCAACGTGGCGTTGCGCTGTGCGTATTCGTCCACGATTTCGAGGATGGACTCAGGGCCGGTTGCGCCAACGTTGGCTACCCCGTCGGACAGCAATACCAGCCGCGCCTTGCGACCATCGTCCATCTCATCGGACGCCAGGTCGTAAGCCAGCCGCAGGCCGGCCTCGGCAAAGGTGCTGCCACCCGCCCGCATTTTCCGTACTGCGCTGACGATGTCACGCGTATCCTCTCCATCCGTGAAATGGTGGGCAACCACGACGGAGTCGGCGTAGGTTACGATTGCAGCCCGATCGCTGGGTATCATCTGGTCGGCGATGCCCTCGATTACTTCCTTCGCTAACCCCAGGCGGTTGTCGGCCTGCATGGAGCCGGAAACGTCAACTACGAAAATCAGCGAAACCGGATCGCGGTCTGTGGTGGGGGCCGGGTTGCTGACACCGACCCGCAGGAGCACATAGCCCGGCTCACCAAACGGAGACGGGCCAGCGTCGAGATGCAATCCCAGCGCCGTTTCGCTGGGCGGGTAGTTCTGAGGCAGGCTGTTGATGTACTCTTCAACGCGCACCGAATCGGGCTCGGCAAGATGCCCGTTGCGGAGATACAGTTTGAGGATTTCGTAGGACGCAGTGTCGCCATCCAGAGCGAAAGTCGACAGCGGGTCTTCATCCGGCTCCATAAATGGATTCACGCCGTAGTGCTCGAAATACGTCAGGTAGTGTCCCGTCAATAGGTGTAAAAGCGCGTCATCCCCTTTGATGTTGATTAGGCTGCTGCGTCCAGGCATGTTGGGCTCCGGCAGTGCCTCGTTGCCGGCGGCGTTGGGGATGTGACGGTAGCGGCGGGCTTCGGCCATTCGTCGTGTTGCCGGCCAGCACCGCGCCCACAAGGCGCCGCGCCGATTAGCCGGTTGGGGAAGATGCCCACCACAGCTCAGGCTCCACGGCGCATTATCTCCCGGTTCAGCCGTTCCTGCGGGTGTTGGACCACAGCTTCTGCCAGTGGCACTGGGAAGGCCGTGAAGGCCAGGATGTCCGCGCGGCGTCCGCCAGCAGTTCGGCCACCTGGGAAAGGGCTCCCGGAGTTGTTCCACCACTCGGTCCCATTGGCCGTGGACCTCGGCGGGAGACAGTTGCTGGTAGATGGTGCGTACCATGCGAGAAGGTCCTGGGTGGCCACGCCAGGTTGGGCACGCTTGGGCACGCGGGTGAGCAGGTTGGCCATGAAGTGGGTGCGGCAGCGCTGCCAGCTGGCTCCAGCAAAGACTGCGGCGATGGCGTTCTTCAGCCCCTGGGGGCATCGGAGGTCACCAGTCACCCCGCTGAGGCCCCACGAGCGGTCAGCGACCGCAGAAGGCCAGCCGAGCGCGCCGTCCTCGCTGGCGCCCACGTCCATCACCCAGGATCTCACGCTGCCTTCGGCATTGACCCCCGTCGCCCACACTCGCAGACGTTCACGATGCGGCCGCCCTCACGCACTTCTGGGTCAGAGCCGTCCCGCAGACGTAGGGGAGGGACACCGTCCAGAGGCGACCCAGGAAACTGGCCACTACTTCGATCCAGTTGCTCGCAGATGCGCGACACCGCTGCTGGAGATGCGTCGCAACCACCCAGGCCTTGATCAGGTCGTCCCTTCGGGTGGAGGACTCCTCCAGTAGGCTGCTGGGATCACCGACAGCAGAGCCTTCGCGCTGCGCCGCCGTGGTTCCAGCAGGCAGTGGGGCAGTAGCTGCCTTCCCCGCAACGCAGCTTGGGAATGTGCAACGCATGGTGCCGCACCCGGGTATCCAGGTGCGGTTGCGTAGCCGTTGCGGTAGGTGACGTCCGCTCTGGGCTGCGTTCGCCGTGCGCATGCGCCGAATCTGGGCGGAACCTCGGGCGTCATGATGCCGTCCACCAGACCCGCCGTGCTTCCCGCAGCACAGTCCACGTCTCCGTCCATACCACGCTTGCGTAATAATTCCAAAAGATCATTCCTTTGCTGGACCACGTCTGTTCTCCTGTTGGGTCGTGTGATTCACAGGATGACGCGGTGGTTAG